ATGCGTACTCAAAGCGTCTTTTAATGGTTCAAATGGTGCCTACCTACCGTTGAATACACTCGAACTTGTGGGTGTTATTGAATGGAAATGATTGAGTTTAAATGTACTAAGGGGCGCAAACTGGAAGCGGTTATTAAGCACAATTTTCCCGAAGTTTTGCATCTTTAAATTCATTCAATTTACTCTAAAAACTATCATCTCAAGCTGCCTTTACCTTTAAGCTGGTTTCTTTGGCCTTAACTTAAAGGCTTGACGGTCTGCCAGCCTTTTGCTATAAAAATGTGTCCAGGATGTTGATGAGTGGCATACTTATGGCTCACTCTTGCGAGTCACTTGTGAGTCATTCTGAGCACTCCACTGATAACATTTAAACGGTTTGACTGACTGACAGTTTTCCATGCCCCTGGGTGGGTAAACGTAAACTGAGAGCAAAGTTGTTTGCCCGTGTGGCCAGAAACTTCCGTTTAGCAGGAGGCAGACTAGAGTACCTTCCTCTACGGCATCTTCATCTCCGTCATCAATGGCAGCATATTGTAATGGAGCACTCCTCTACCTCCCTTTAGCGTTAAACATTTCAACAAGAAGACAACATTTTAGTAGACACAAAGCGGCGCCTTCTTTTCTGGCCAAACAAAGGGGGCCTATAACCCAGAAAACAAGAAGAAAAAAGCAAAAAAGCAAAAAAGCAAAAAAGAAAAGCCTGGCAATAGAACCCTACGAAGGGAAAGAGGTTAAGCAGAGGATGAAGTGGATGGAGGGATGCCTGAGACAATGGATGAGGATACCAGAGAGAGAGAGAGATACTTGTACATGTACATATAGATATATACAGAGAGAGAGAGGAAGAGACGCGTTAAACTCAAGCGTGGGACCCAAGGAATGAAGGAGCAGCGGAAGCCCAAGGAAGTGTCTGCCTCCTGGTGTTGTTAACAAGCCGCCAACAGCCACACCGACAACAACCAAGAGGAGTGCTGTAACAAAAAAGAAGAAATGAAAAGGAAATTGTTACCCTACAGAAAAGTCCCTGTATAACGGAAAGCCAGACATATTTTTTCACAGATTTTAACGAGGGAAAAGAGTCAAGTCACCCCATCTTCCATGGCAAAGGCATTTGTCTCTGGCCATAGGAATTCCATAGACGCAGACATAGTATGTATCAGGATAACGATTGTCTTGTGTGGGTGGGTGTAAAGTGGGCGTGGCGGTTGAGTTTACGTGCTCGCATGACGCTGGCAACATTGTGCACTCTGGCTTTCGTTTCGTTTCGTTTCGTTTTGGGGTTATATTTGTCATAAAAGTGGCTACAAAGTGTGCCAGGTAGAGAGGCGAGTGCGTGATGGACAACTTTCAGGTTGTTGCAGGAGGGGGAGATACAAAGGGGCAGGGGCAGGGGCAGGACCACGTTGCGGTGTCAGAATTGCTTCGATATAAAATGCATTTGGATAAACTTGTTTGTATCTCTTGACTAATGAATTCTGTAGCTCGGCTCGAATCTCCTTCTGCAAATTGATACTAGTACGAGTGGAGCCATTATTTAAGTAAACGCTGAGTGAGTGTCTCGTTCCGAATTCCATTTTGGCAACCTTGCTTTTGGCTTTGCTCAGTTGCTCAGTCCTTAGTCTCTGGGCCATCGCTTACTTAGTCTGTTTGTTCATGTCTGCCGCACCCACTCCTCGTCTCTGAGCGTTGCCCCTGCTGCATTCCTGCACATGTACGCGTTCAGTTTCGGTGCTGGGTAAAGATATCAACTTGAAAATTGTTAGGGACACGCCCCAAGCACAACGCCCCCCAACAAGCAACAAAAACACACACACACACACACACAACTTCATGTTCTCCACTGTGCGGCTCGGCTCCGTTCTCCATGGCTGCTCTGTGCTGGCAGATTGGCCAACAGCTAGGCCAAAAGAAATTCATCCATTACAATCACAGCAACAACAGCCACAGCCAGAGCTACGGGGAAAACAATTTGAGCCAAAAGTTGCCCCACCCACTGCCCTGTCTCCGTTTGCAATCATACCTCCCCACCTCCCCTACCAATTCTGTGCTCCACTTTGTTTATCGCTCTTCACTTTGTTGGCCTTTTGATGCCCTGTAAGAGGGTACCAAAATACACCAAATACACAAAATTAAATCCCTTTTTTCTGTGCACCTACATTCCATGATAATTATTAATCCCATAGGGCATCCAATCTTTCGGCTTCAGATTGATTTATTTTCTTGCTACTTTTTGGCCATGTCTGCTCTGTTATTGTTTTGCCTGGAGTTTATTGGCATTTAACCTTAAGACCCGCCCTCAATTCAACTTACTCTCCACCCCGTTTGACGTTGCTTTTCCATTCATTTTTCAACTCGAATAAGCTGCAATTAAAAATTCGAATTTTGTCGCAGTGCAAAAAGAATAATAAAAACTTTTGCCGATGAAATCTAATTTAATTGTAGTTTCGAAAGTGATTTATTTATTTATTTACCTTCTTGATGTCGCTGAAATTAATTTAAAGGATACATTTTAATCCTTTTTTGTTCGGCACGAAAAACTTTGCAGCAACAACAACAAGAAGGAAAACATGGACAACTTTCTGGCTTGCGAAAAGTTGTGGCATGGCTCAGTGGGAGGTGGGTTAAAGGGTTGGAATTGGTTGGGGTTTAATGCCTTAACCCATCAGGGCCCCACCACAAAGTTTGCGTCGCCCAGTGAAGCATTTTAGTCAACCTAATTAGCAACTTGATGATTTTTTAACGCTTTATCGAGCACTGGCAATGATTTCATTAGCTTGGCTAAAAGCAACAGAAGGAGTGGCAGCACAGGACCATCGAGGAGGGGGGTGTAACAGCAGGAGGACTTCACTGAAGTGCAGCGTAAATTGCTTCATGATTATTAAATTGCCTCTCGCTCTCTCGCTCTCTGGCTTGGGATTCGGTTCTTGGAAAAGTCTTCGCCCCCTCCCACAAAAAACTTGTTGAGAAGTTGAAAATGTTGCAAATTAGTTGAGGTTAGTTTCGGCTTAGGGGCTTGACTCCACGATGCACGGCATGCAGGGGTTGGGGTTTAAGGTGTTGCATGAGAATATTAATAGAACTTCGGATATAAACAGAAATAAAGTTCGGGTACTAATCTAATAGAGGAAGGAAATTGGCTTTAAAGTTCAACTGAGGCAGCAGAACCCTTCCAAAGCTCTCCCACATTTATATTTGAATATGTATTTTCATGATCATCATAATCATTCATTCAACAATGTTGAACCTTGTTTATCTTTTTGATAGAATCTATCTTTGCCGAGACATTTCTCTTTGCAAACTTCTTCTAAATTCCCAGAAATGTCTCACCCCACCCGAGAGTCAGGCCTCATTACCATGTGAGCAATCCAAATTGAGCGTTAAATTCAACACGTAATATGAGCGTTTTATGAGCGTAGAAGCGCATAGCTTTATAGCTTATCACCTACCGTAACTCACCCCACGAAAGATACACAGATACAGATACAGATACACCCAAATGTGCGTTGTAAACGCTAGAAAATGAAACTTGTTTGCACTTAAGCTGAACAAATTCAAACAAAGAACAAAGTTAGCTGGGGAATGAGGCTAAAGAACCTTTAAAAAGAACCAAGGTGGTACCATAGACCATCTATCAAGCCATAATTCGTTATAATCAGGCATCTTAGCATCTTTGATTTAGTTGGAAAACGAACACACACTATTTTTTATGGTAGCCCTGACAAATGCTATTTGCACGCTTACCAAAGAAAATCAATTGATTCCAGCATAAAAGAGAACCATAAAATCCCAAGTCTTCATTTGGAATCTCAACCCTATTTGCTCCCCCCGTCCTTTATCATTGATCAGGCTTAGGTTAGGGGACCATTTTTTTATGATCACGCTAAGATGTTTGCTTCCTTTTCAGAACTCTGACTCATGCCGGATACCCTTTTTGTGTTTTATTATTTCACTTATTTAATGGCAATTAGTTGGAAAATTGTTCGGCATTAAATTCCCAGGATTCTCTGAATATCACACATGGAAAAGTGTACACTCTCAGAAGAAGCCTCAATCTCGTTATTATTAAGTAATGTGATGTCTGGTCATCGGCCCACACACAAAAACCTCAACAGCAGCCAACGCAAAACTCAGGAACTCGAGTAGAAGTTCTCAAGTAAAATGCAAATGTAGGCGTCTGATGATGATTACAACAATTGAAAGAGGTTCCAGCCACAATTGTAGATTGTGTGGGAGATGTGTTAACATTAAGCACATCAAACTAAATTAAATTTGTATCGCCTTAAGCTTGTTCTGGACCATAATAGATTTACTAATTAATTGTTTTTTATTCAAAAGCAGCTCCATGTTGCTGGCAGCATGTGGCCGGGCGTTCTCCTAGCTACCTTTGTGGATCGCAACATTTGCTGCCAGTGTAACGTGTATCAGCCAACATTGCATCCCAACATGGCGCATCTCCACCGTTCAGAATCCAAGCGAGATCTCGTGCCGTGCCGTGCCGTGCCGCATTTGTTATCTGTAAGTCGTCGGGTCTTGTCTTTACTCGTGGAGTTAGCCCCGTCATTTGCATAGACCAGAAATCAAGCGTGCCGCAGGCCCCAACTTCACATCTGGCAAAGTTAATCCAAACAAACACAACAGATATCAGTGAACGATATAGAAGTATATATACACATGGTACTTATATGCGTACATAGTACGGATCTGTGCATCTGTGTGTGAGTGTGCAAAGTGCGTGAGTGTGTGCGAGGGCGTTTTGTCTTTGCCGCTGGCATCACGGCAAAAGTCGCGCTCATTCTTTGGGCGGATTTGCAGGCGCTTTGCATAAAGGCAGACAAAAAACCAACACAATTTAAATTAGTTTAAAATTACTCAAAAATAAAAGAAACCTACGAAAATACAAATATTTGAGGCTGAAAGAAAATTATATTAACACATAATTAAACAGAAAATAAATAAAAGTTTCCATTGTTTAACCAACCAAAGTGTAAAAGCGTTGAAATAACAATTTTCGCGAAATATTTTCCAGATGACAAATTGTTGTAAAATGTGAAAATAAGTGTCATTAAATAATCTGCGTGCCATAAATGCGAACAATTAAAATTCCATTCATAAAAAGCAAACAAAAATATACATTTAATATTCTACTTGGCGGAAAGAAGGAAACTCTTCGAGCGCAAGTGTCGGCAAGTGTCAAACCATAAAACGCAATAAGTAATTGCCACACACAACAAAGGGAAAATGTTTTTAAAAAATGAATAGATATAGATATATGCTAAGATAAATGCGAGTATATAGATCAAACGACAAAGGGAATTCAACAAAAAGAGCGTGTGAAAAAAGTGAGACAAAGGCAAGAGAGTGAGAAGTGGGGAGAATTTCTCAATTCGTGGTTAAGAGGCCGAAAGTTATACTCGAAATGGCGATGCCTCCCCAAGGAGGCGGCGGAGGCGTGCCACTGATCCTCAAGTTTATGGCGACTCTCTTGCTGCTTGTAACCCTCGTCCGGGCCGGCAGTGATCCCAAAGGAGCATCGACAGTGATCACTACCACAGCTCCGCAGATGGGAAATCGGTATCCCCACCAGCAGCAACGTCTGCAACTATTGCAGGAGGCCCAGCAGCTGGAGGCGGCACATCAGCACCATCACCATTTGAGGCACGAGCAGCATCTGCGTGCGGAGCTCGAGGGCAATCATAAGCCACCATCTGTGGGTGTCGGACCTGGAGCGGCAACGGCCATGAAGCTGTTCGACCAGCAATTGCCGCCGGCGGCCACGGGACAGCAGCAGCACCATTTGCGTCATCACAATCGCCACCATGTGACCTGGGAGCAGAGAGTCTTCCCCTCGCTGCGTCACCAGCAGCATCGTCTGGCCATGAGCTCCACTGCAAGACCCATCGTCACCACCGACGCCCCGCATCCAACCCATTCAATGATGAGCAATCACAGTCGCTACTTCGATCGCGATGGCATATATCCGCCATGGGCTGAACCCAGGTCCACGCGAGGACCCAACTGGCGGCAGCAGGTGGAGGTGGACTCCTCATCCAAAGACGATGATGATGATGATGATGACGCTGACGACGACGATGATGAGGACTATGAGTACGAGGAGGATTCCAGTTCCAATGCCGTGGACGAAGAGTTGGCCCGTCAAATGCCGCGCTACTCGCTCTTCAGTCAAAAGTTGCCACACATCGAGTCGAGGGAAGAGGAGTACGATGCCTACGATCAGTCCGACGAGTCAGACATGAACTCCAACAGAAACAGGCATCCCAGTGTGGCCAATCCGCACGACAAGGCAGCGGCCAAGAGGAACATCTTCGACTGGCTCTTCAAGCGGGACAAGGAGAAGGAGCAGGATAAGCAGAAGACCCATAAAGACCATGCTTTGGTGGCTGTCAGGAAACCACACACTACAGAGAAGCCCACAGAGAAGGCCACGGAGAAAGCCACAGTGAAGCCCAAACTGCAGCTAATCGACGCCAATCTCCAGGTGGAGGAGGACGAGGATGAGGACTCCCCCGACGACTCCGACTCCGACACCGACTCCGAGGAGAGCTTCTCCAACGAGCAGTGGAACAAAATCGAGCACGAACACCATCTCAAGCAGCAGAAGCACCAGAAGGAGCTCCAAGCCCTACGGGAGAGTAGTCGCAACACCCCACTCATACGGCCAGCTGCCGCCGCAGCCTCTTACAACATTGAGAATGAGGTGAGTCGTCTCTGGCATTGCGCCCATTGTGTACGCTGATAAGGCGGCGCTCATCTCTATTCCCAGACTCCATGATGTCATTAGCTTTTGCTGTTGTTGTTGCTCTTCTCTGACCACTGACATTGCTCCATTGTTGTGTGGTGGCTGTGTGGCACGAGGGCAGCAGTCCCCTCTGTCTGATAAGAGGCTGTACGCTGGCTGCCTGCCTGGGGATTCATTCGCAACAATAACAAAAAAGCTGTGGCCACAAATGACCAACAGATTTCGGAGGGGGGTCCACGAGTATTTGACTGTGGTCTCGGTTTCGGTTTCGAGTTTGATTTTGATTTTGGTGATTACTCAGTCGGTAAATCCATAAGTAAACAGAGTAAGACACTGAGAGAAATTAGTGAAATGAAACAGCAAAATGCCACCCGAAAGACAATCTATCAATCCCCCCCTTTCTCACAGTGCTTTGGCCACTCCCCCCCCCTGCACAGAACGCACTGACCATGGCTAATGCCGTTTGCATTTTGGCTTACAACAAAAGCAATGCCCCATTTACAGGCAATGCGAAGCAACAACAGCAACAAACCATTTTGCTTTGCTCTCTGCTCTTGTCAAATATTTACGCAGTGTCGGCAAAGGCCAGGGGTGTAAGGGGGGGGGGTCTTAGAGCAGGCGATGGGATACCAGACAGCAGTTGGCGCTTGCAGCTTTTTGCACTTTTCGCTTGACCACTCACCATTCCCTTCACCATTGCCGGTTGGCTAATTGAAATCAGCAGCAGAGACAACAATTACAACAACAACAACAACATCAAGTAAAACAACAGCAACAACGACAGTAGATCGAACTGAAACAACAGATACAAGAAGCTTGGAAACGACAAGTTCAACAACAAGAAAGGAAGAACAGCCTCACGTAGCGAATATTCTGATACCCTGCAGCTCGCACATTCCAGACACTAATCAGTGTTTGAGTTATGTGTCTGAGTTATCTTTCCCTTTCCCCATCTAAAACATCATGCCCTCTGCCGAAAAGTGCAGCAATTAATTGTTTGGCATTTTGTTTGCACTCTTTGGATTGCATTTCATTCCATGACATGATGTTTGCTTTGAGTCGTGGCTTTATTTATTTTTGCGGTGGCAAATGTCCAATTTTAATTGCATTTTCATGCGTCTCCTTGGTCCGGTGACCTTCAGCTCAGCTCTGTCCTTTGCCCAGTGTAATTACCTAGAGAAAGGACAAATTGAATTAGCAAATAGTATTGGTTCTGTGGAGGAGAAACCCCAGTGGACCCAGTGCTCGGTTCCGGCGGAATATTGCAGCTTACAAGAGTTCTCTGCTGTTGATTTTAGTGCTGGTTGTTTATTTTTATGGGCCAACCGCTTTGACTTTACTGCATCCCCACTGGAAGTTAGTTGTGCAGCTTGTCATTTGAAATGAGTTCCCTCGCAGTTGATGTCTTTTGGGTAATCGATGTCATTAAGTTCAGCGAAAAGAGAAGATAAACCTAAAGGAGAGGTCAAACTGCTCTAAAGTACATTTAAAGTTTCTTGGGAAGTAAGTCAGCAAAAGTTTTATGTGTATGCAAAATGCGAAAGTTCTTTCACTGATTCTATCAGTTTACGTTTAATCTGCCGAATATTTGTGCAATTTTAATTACCAAATTGAGCTAATTTTAAACAAATAATAGTGTCACTTATCCGCAAATGATAATAATCCAATGCAAACCATTATAAAATTCCATCCTCAAAAATTGTCATTTAAAATATTTGCCAAAGCAATTTCAATTTAATCCCATAAATATTCCAGGCAAAATATATGCCTGTACATGGCAAATAATTAAAAACATAATCCAAAATTTAAATACCGCCGATGACAATTTGGCGAGAGGAGAAAAATGTAAATTCGAAATGCACTCCAAAATATTGTTAACAGCTAAATAAACACTCGAGCTGGGGGGAGGCAACAACAAAGAACAGCTGCGTGTAAAACAGCAGTGGAAACAACAGTTGAACATCAAATGAAGGTTGTTCGAGGGGGTGGTGGACTGGCGCCATTCCCTGGATCCCCAGATACACCTTGCCACCACCACACGCCTTTGCCCACTAGAACAATACAATTAACACATGTCTGCGGATGACGACGCCGGCTACGGCTACTCTGCAGGATGTGTCTTTCCTCTGGCTTTCACCTTGCTCACAGCGTGTACATCCTTCCGTCCTTCCTTCCTTCCTTCCTTCCGTTTCTGCTGCTTTGCTGTCGTTCGTGCCACATTTCAATTGTATCTCCATCAGCATGTGCAAATGCTGCTGACTCGTGCCATTATGCCCTACTTATACCGACATCATTTAATTGCCACCATCACTGTTTTTATTTAAGCTTTTCCGAGCTTCTTTATTTATTTTATAGTTGCAATTTTCGTTGGCTGTTCATTAATGAGTTGCGGTTGCAGTGGCTGCGATTTTTAATGGATGGCCACTGGGATACTTCGAGTGTTTGCCGAAGAACGAATTTTAATTTTTCCATGAAAATTACTCAATTTGCTGCTGATGTTTGAGTATCCACAAATATTGAGGCATTACCGTACTAATGCAAAATGTATTATTAAAATTTATATACAAATTTTATGGCACCCACTTAACTGTTGCAAAAACATTTCTCGAATATTTTGCATAATTGCAAAAATAAATTGAACTCCTTCAGGGACCACGACCACTTTTATCTCTTTAAACGTTTGCTCCACAAAACTGAGCAGAGAGCAAAGTTTTCAGTTAGACTTTCCGTGTTGAACATTGTCCAACACACATCAAGTATCGAAGTATTTGGTGTGTTGCTTTTCGCTTTCTTGTTGTTTTTAGTGTGTGCTGTACATTTGTTGGCAAGTCTTTTTGAGCCTTGAAAGGTTTTTGCCTCCTTCACATACTTTCTGAACTATTTTCTGAACTCTAATGCATATCCTTCATTTGCACTCCCATGCACTGTATTCAGGCCTGCCGCTGCCGCTGTCTCTGGCTTTGCCCCTGGCACACCCACAAATGCTGTCACTTCTTTTGCAGCACTTGCTCTTTGTTCCCTAAGCTTTTACCAGCCTTTTGTGGGTATCTTTTCCTCTATTGCCTGCCTGCCAGCTGCTCCTCTTCCTGTTCCTGTTCCTCTTGGCTCCTGCCAGGCTGTAGCCTTTCTTTCTTTCTGTGTGTTTGTCAGGTTTTGACAGAGCAGTGAGTGGAAAAAGAGATACAGAGAGAGAGAGAAAAGATGAGTGGAGCTTAGCTTTTGTACCTACTTATATCGAAATGTCAAAAGCGGTTAAACAAACGCAACGAAAGTTCCTCGCTCACCACCCGCTGGTGTGGCTGAAGGCTGCCTGCCACAGCGATTGCATTGACCTTGCAGCTAGAATCAGCAGGGGGAAAATGTAGCTAGCTTATGGTTAAAGTGGCATTCAAAATCGCTACTCACGGATAATGGATGGATAACGATGGCTACTTATGGCCTGTTTCTATTTAAAACAGGATCAACCTTTACATTTTTATGACGGACAAAGACCCTTTCAGTGGTCAGAGACTGAAGAGAGCCACAACATTGGCCAACTTCTTCTGTTAAATTGTACTCTTCACAGCCGTTTCTAATCAACTTTTCATTGTGATTTCTTTTCAAGTTTTTTCCTCTGTTTTTCTTTTATTCATTTTGACTGGATCCAGCAACTGGCTGGCTGTGTTTTTTCCCTTTTGTAATTACTCTCTTGATTATATTTTTAGTTATTTCTTCACTCTGTGGCGTGGCCGTTGCTGTTGATGACATTTTTCAGCTAATTTCCACCCACATTTCCAACATTTTTTCCTTTTTTCTGCTGTGTTCCGACCTGTTATTGGCAGTGCTATTCTTTGGCTCCTTGTTTTGCTGTTCCTGGGTTTCCTCTTGCCTTGTGGCATTCATTAGTCCGCTCGCTCCAAGGAGCTGTGAGTGCGAGTGCTACTTGTATACCGTTTGAAAATAATATTCGTATTTTGTGCCATGGAAAAACACTCTGCTGGCCCTGGTTATGGCTCTCTTGCCCAGCTCTCTGCACAGCTCAGACATTTCCCATTGCACAACTTGTGCTTGCTTATTGTCTCCAGATTGCCTCGCATCGCATTCAATGTTCTCCTTTTTGGCAGACTCTGGTCTCTGGTCTCTGGTCTCTTGACTTGTGCCCGCGCTCCCCATAATTTATAGCCATTTCTAATAAAGATTTCGGGAAATTATTTTCTCGTATTTTCTCCCTCGCTCTGGACTGGAAAAGCAATATAAATTCTCGCAACTAATTGGCAATGTTTGCCCGTTGTCTTCTCGGTTTTGGTTTTAGGACGCGCACTGGCAGAGGCAGCTCCAATGGCTTTATTAGACTTTAAAGATTACATGCGAGCATGTGCAGGGCTCTTTACGCAGGGCTTCTTTGTGCCACACACACACACACACACAGATGCTGCCACGCTGCAAGGGAAATTCTTGGAATGCCGCGAAATCTTTAGCGGCTTCGTCACTTTGTAAATCATGCCACACTCGACTCGCATGGGGGGAGTGGTGGTAGCGCCGACAGCAGTTTGTTAGTTAATCTGACAGAAAACTGTTTGTCAGTGGATGTGTATCTGTGTGTCTGTTGAATGCACTCGCAGTTTGTCAGTCTGTTTGCTCAACGGAACTCAAATCACTTACAGCACTCTGGGCTTTTGTCTGTGCGTCAGTTTGCATTTTAGTAACTGAAGACACATGTCTGTCTCTGGAGGTCTCTGCAAAGTCTCTCTGGGGTCTGGGGTCTGGGGTCTCTTCCCTTTCAATCATAGCTGATGCCGACTTTGTGATTGATTTTGATGATGAGCTTCAGCGCAGATGAAGCCCTCCCTCATTGAAATGCATGCCAGGATTGGGCTGGGCCCATGAATCGGGGTCAAGGTGGATGGATGGATGGATTGACTGGGTGTGTTTACAGTTAGAACTCTATTACGATCCGCGATCACGTGGCCATGGTGACA